ATGGCAGGGGCCCCAGGCCATGGTAGGATCTGCAGGCCATGGTGGGGTCCCCAGACAATGGCAGGGTCCCCAGGCCATGGTGAGGGCCCCCAGCCCACAGCACAGTCCCCAGGCCATAGTAGGTCCCCAGACGATGGCAGGATCCCCAGGCCATAGTGAGGGTCCCGAGCCCATGGTGGGGTCCCCAGGCCATGGTGGGGTCTCCAGGCGATGGCAGGGTCCCCGTGTCATGGTGAGGGTCCCCAGACAATGGCAGGGTCCCCAGGCCATGGTGAGGGCCCCCAGCCCACAGCACAGTCCCCAGGCCATAGTAGGTCCCCAGACGATGGCAGGATCCCCAGGCCATAGTGAGGGTCCCGAGCCCATGGTGGGGTCCCCAGGCCATGGTGGGGTCTCCAGGCGATGGCAGGGTCCCCGTGTCATGGTGAGGGTCCCCAGACAATGGCAGGGTCCCCAGGCCATGGTGAGGGCCCCCAGCCCACAGCACAGTCCCCAGGCCATAGTAGGTCCCCAGACGATGGCAGGATCCCCAGGCCATAGTGAGGGTCCCGAGCCCATGGTGGGGTCCCCAGGCCATGGTGGGGTCTCCAGGCGATGGCAGGGTCCCCGTGTCATGGTGAGGGTCCCCAGACAATGGCAGGGTCCCCAGGCCATGGTGAGGGCCCCCAGCCCACAGCACAGTCCCCAGGCCATAGTAGGTCCCCAGACGATGGCAGGATCCCCAGGCCATAGTGAGGGTCCCGAGCCCATGGTGGGGTCCCCAGGCCATGGTGGGGTCTCCAGGCGATGGCAGGGTCCCCGTGTCATGGTGAGGGTCCCCAGACAATGGCAGGGTCCCCAGGCCATGGTGAGGGCCCCCAGCCCACAGCACAGTCCCCAGGCCATAGTAGGTCCCCAGACGATGGCAGGATCCCCAGGCCATAGTGAGGGTCCCGAGCCCATGGTGGGGTCCCCAGGCCATGGTGGGGTCTCCAGGCGATGGCAGGGTCCCCGTGTCATGGTGAGGGTCCCCAGACAATGGCAGGGTCCCCAGGCCATGGTGAGGGCCCCCAGCCCACAGCACAGTCCCCAGGCCATAGTAGGTCCCCAGACGATGGCAGGATCCCCAGGCCATAGTGAGGGTCCCGAGCCCATGGTGGGGTCCCCAGGCCATGGTGGGGTCTCCAGGCGATGGCAGGGTCCCCGTGTCATGGTGAGGGTCCCCAGACAATGGCAGGGTCCCCAGGCCATGGTGAGGGCCCCCAGCCCACAGCACAGTCCCCAGGCCATAGTAGGTCCCCAGACGATGGCAGGATCCCCAGGCCATAGTGAGGGTCCCGAGCCCATGGTGGGGTCCCCAGGCCATGGTGGGGTCTCCAGGCGATGGCAGGGTCCCCGTGTCATGGTGAGGGTCCCCAGACAATGGCAGGGTCCCCAGGCCATGGTGAGGGCCCCCAGCCCACAGCACAGTCCCCAGGCCATAGTAGGTCCCCAGACGATGGCAGGATCCCCAGGCCATAGTGAGGGTCCCGAGCCCATGGTGGGGTCCCCAGGCCATGGTGGGGTCTCCAGGCGATGGCAGGGTCCCCGTGTCATGGTGAGGGTCCCCAGACAATGGCAGGGTCCCCAGGCCATGGTAGGATCCGCAGGCCATGGTGGGTTCCCCAGACAATGGCAGGGTCTCCAGGCCATGGTGAGGGTCCCCAGGCCATGGTAGGGTCCCCAGATGACTGCAGAGTCCCCAGGCCATCGTAGCATCCCCAGGCCATAGTAGGGTCCCCAGCCCATAGTGATGGTCCCCAGGCCACGATAGGGTCCCCAGGCCATGCCAGGTTCTCCAGACGATGTCAGGGTCCCCAGCCCATGGTGAGGGACCCCAGGCCACGGTGTGTTCCCCAGACAATGGCAGGGTCCCTAGGCCATGGTGGGGTCCCCAGGCCATGGCGGGCTCCCCAGGCCACAGCAGGGTTCCCAGGCCATGTCGGCGTCCCTAGACGATGGCAGGGTCTCCAGACGACGGCAGGGTCCCCAGGTCATGGTGAGCGCCCCCAGGCCTGAGGCAAGGGCCCCGCCGGATTACCACGGCGACCGCCAGCCCCGGACGCCAC